CGGATTTTCGGTAAAACGGATTGTCACGATATAACGGTTTTGGTGCCTGTCCCGACGAATCCGTTATATCGACTTTCGCTGTGTATATTAATTTTGGTGAGCAAAAGCTCGATAATTATATTAGGTGAGAGTACGAATTATATCAAATGATTCGTGATTAAACCGCTTAGAGCACTATTATGCATGTTTTGTTATTGATATATTTTATCCGTAACACGACAAGCAATGTCCTTTTTGGTGGAGTATCAATTGCTCAACGCCAATACTGCATACAAGAGAAGGTAAATTGTACTTGTAATTAACAATCACAATAGTTATTATCAATGGCCCGACGTTATGTAGTATGAACAGATTTTTCTATCCATATCAATATTGATATATGGTAAAGAGATGTACTGGTATGTACAATAAGATTACATAATACTTCAGGTACTTTAATGGCAAGCCAATATTTCACCTTGGGCACCAAAATATTGCGTATAATGAATGCATTTGGAAACACGTAAACAGTGCGATAAACTTAATCTCGAACACAATAAAAGGAATAAATTTTTAACAATTCCGAACATTCATTTATGCTCCTGCTTTCGATCCGATTTTTCCAATTATTTTCTACCGTGATCTTTTTCGGGTTAGTATTAATTATTATGGCGTACAATTTACAATTGTGTGACGTGAGCCCGAATTTTCGTGCAAATAATTGCACGCCAAATTTCTTTTGAACCGTACCGCGAATATTCTCGACATGAGTTTATGGGTTGATAAATACAGACCGTCCAAGTTGGAAGACTTGGAAATTCACGAAAGCTTATCGGAACGATTGAGGACTCTGGTGAATGTCTTGCTATGCAAATATGTATATTTGAATGATCAATATCGTGACGCATTCGCGTTAACTTTCTGCGGAATACGCGAAAAGTCTATAAGAGCCAACTTAATGATACTATCGTTCATCTTATTTGATTTTAATGCAAGTGTAACATTCTTACAGTCATCATCCAGCGATTTCCCTCATCTGCTAGTTTATGGTCCATCTGGATCAGGAAAGAAAACGCGAATAGTCTGTGTTCTAAGAGAATTATTTGGTGATGGGGTACTAAAGGTAAAGTATTGGTGTTATGTTCTAATTTTTTGTAAGCTGAGATGATGATAATATGACATACATTTGTAGATCAAAAACGATGTGCGAATATTCTTAACTCCTTCACGAGTAAAGAAACAGCTTGTAGTTGTATCTAGTAATTATCATATTGAAGTTACCCCAAGGTATCACGCGTATCAAGCCATCACTATTTGATGGGAGCATTGTGTTGGATAACAAGAATAATTCCTTTCGCATCTATTTTACTTTATTTATCTTTCTTCTTATTTTCAACAGTGATCTTGGCAATTATGATCGTCAAGCGACTCAAGATCTGTTAAAAGATATTGCACAAACGCAGCAAATTGCGCCTGATGCCAGACATAGGTTTAAAGGTATTCTGTACGAATGATTACGTAGCAAAAAACTTTTATTGAACGAATACGGCTATTTTTCACTTTCTTCCCGCTTTAACTGCTTCGGAAAACCGAAATATTGATTACCAAATCTTTCTTTATTCACCAATCATACTCTCTGCAGTCGTTATAATTAATGAAGCAGACTTGCTCTCCCGCGAGGCTCAAGCAAGTCTCCGACGTACGATGGAGAAATATATGAAGAATTTACGAATAATACTATGCTGTAACTCAACAAGTAAAGTCATTGCACCAATACGAAGCCGATGTCTGCTTATTCGCGTTCCCGCTCCGACAAACGATCAGGTCGTTTTCCTTAAAGTTATAGACAGAACATAACACAGCGATATGTTATTAATGCAAACTGTTTTTGCAGATTGTGCATGTCTTAAAGGATATTTCAAAAAAAGAGAGCGTGAATCTGTCTGAAACGTTGATCACGCGTGTTGCTGAACACTCACATGGAAATTTAAGAAAGGCAATTTTGAGCCTTGAGGCTGCTGTTGCGCGGAAGTGAGTTTAAATAGGTTTAGCGTGCCTTTGGAATGATGGTGATTGTGCGAACCTAACTACTTGTTTATCAAGTGAGACATCAAAGACAGATGATAAAATAGGTTTAACGGACTGGGAAGCAGCAATAGAAGATTTGGCCAAGATCATATTGCTTGATCAAAGCCAGCAAACGTAAGTTATCCTCTTCTATTGTGTTCGAGATTCTTCAAACTTACTAGGCAAATGCACCATATTGATTGCTAATGTTTCATGCGTATACTTATTTAGAATGTTGCAAGTAAGAACAAAATTCTACGAGTTGATCAGCGCATGCATCCCGGCATCTACTATTTTAAAAGTAAGCACAAATGGCTTATCTTGTAACGGATTAAATGCATTCATTAATTTAACAATTACGCGGATCCTCAGACTCTGGCCCTTTCACTGGCCAAGCGTGCAAAAATCCCTGCATTAAAGCCTCGAATTCTCATGGAAGCAGCATTTTATGTAAGTCATGATACCCTTGACGCAAATTTCAATAAGATTAATGGGTCCTTATTCGTCCCTGTATATAATATAGGAGCATCGTCTACGTCTTGGAAACAAAGCAATATTTCACCTTGAAGCATTTAGCTTCAAGATTATGCGATTAATTTTACTGTTTGAATCAGGAATGCAATAACAACTCTTTTAAATATGCTTGCTTTTGCTCTATACAAATCGTCAAGGATCACAGCATTTATATCCGAATACCAAACTCACTCGTAATCACTCCACGCGTCTTGTTCGTTCTACGGAAAGATAAATACTCTATTAAAAACAACAAGTCTCGCCCAGTAATCCAGGGTCTGATAATCGATCGTCCTTACCATCTCTACGCATACATCCTCATTCTCTTGCTCTTCTACTTTCGACCGCCACACCAAGATTCGTTTATCGCCATCACCAGAATATAGTTCCTGATTATGTTGCTTCCAAATAACACAATTTATAGAAGACATTGGCCCATGTAGACGATCGTGCAGTGTTCCATCGAATAAGTCATATATTAATATTCGACCATCGCTAGTTGGGTGAAATACTAGAGATGGAATACACTTGTCCGATTTAGTCAGAGCAAGGGTAACACATAGCCTGGCTTTATTTACTAGTTCACCGCCATATTCAACCTATATCGATGGACAAGTTAATAACGTAAAATTTACTCGACAATGAATATATCCAACTGACCAAGACGTTTGTTCCTTGATAGACATCCCATAAACGTAGCGTATTATCCTGGCCCGTACTGAGCAAATGCAAGCCATCATGAGTAAATGTTAACCCATTGACAGGAGCAGTGTGGCCGACATTCCTCGCTGATGTTGGCGAGCCTTCATTTGTATAGTCCAAAGATACTAGACATCTTAATGGATTGCGAATATCCCATAACCGAACAGTACCATCCTCTCTGGGAAATGAATGAATGCATGAGCAAAGAGCACAGTATGCTGTTGAAGAGATTTACGAATTGACCTACCCTGCAGAGGCCAACATATTATGAAATAGCGGTGACCATTGCACTGATATGACGGATTTATAGTGTCCTTTTTGGATACAAATAGAGGATATGAAGGTAATTCAACAAGAGTTTAACAAAATGAACAAACATGGGTAAAATGAATCATGCGCATACCGCTCAGGGTCAAAACTGCCACTTTATGACGTATATCACACATTCGAATAAAGTGATCTCCCAACGCACCTCATGAACGAGATTTCGTGTGGGTTAGTTCAGAAATTTCATTCTTGGCTTTGCTGCAGCACCATTATTATTTCTCTTACTTGCAACGAGACCATTACGCACGCGCGGTGACATTGCATGGGAATAAACATGAGATTTCAAATCGAACGTATGAACAGGCTGATGAGTTCAGATTGGTTAGTCATTCACACAGATTTATATCAAAGTGAAAGCTCACGTTATATAAATTCTGGCTATTAATATTACCACCATGTAATTCGAATCCCAACACTTGACAGTCTTATCCATGGAACTTGTAGTGAAAAGCTTCCAACTGTGTGGTGACCAATTAATCCCTGTTACGGTAAATTCATGGCCTGCGTTCCTGCATTTCAATTCTCTTTTCTTTAGTGATAAATAATATCGATCAGAGAATCGACATGATAGAACTAATAAAAGTTTTCACCTAGGAATTGTAACTTTAGATCGAATTGTTATTCGTGGTTCTCGTAATTGCGCGGTGTTCTTGCCGAGATCATACAACCGAATTTCCGCATCAGCCCCTCCTGATAGTAGACTAGAAAGAAATACAAGTTGCAATGAAAACCCAGTATAGTCAATAGAAATTCTAACATTGAAATTATCAGGCAATTTAACAGACGATTTACAAATATTCATAGACTACCACTATCGCTGCTGTACATTGTCTAATGCGAGAGTCATTATCGGCCCTCCATGTTCCGTATGGAAACCTTTCAAAGTGCTCAGTTGAAATGATTCCAATTTACGTTCTATAACTTGTTTTCTTATAATATATGACGGTTGGGTGCCGATTTCTCTGTCCAACAAGGACTTCATCATTTTTAAGAATTTCTTGCAATTGTTCGAAGCAATGATAACATTTCATCAGTCACACCCTCAATAAGTAACAGCCCTGACCGACTATAGTAAAAAATTACGCCTATCACAGTCACATCACATGATAAATAAATTATTGAGTGAAATTTGAGAATGCATAAAAATGTCTATAATAATAACTTCTCCAAAAAGAGAACGCAAATCACTGGTACGAAATTTGTATTTATTCAAACGATAATCATATGGCCACAAGTACTAATAAATACTAACATATCTAGAATACGGATTGTTTTTCCGAATGGCACCCAATCAGACTTTAGCAAGTGGAACCTTGCATAATAAAGCATGTTCATAAATAATAATAACGCGACTTTACTATCAATACAAGGGAATTTTACTAGTGAAAAAATGGGAACAATAATTAATTCGGTAAAACGAAAATTTGGTATAATGAGGTTCGGTATAACGAGGTTTGACTGTACTGTATATCATTTCATAATGTGCGAACAAGCGAATTTATTTATGAATAGCAAATATGAATAACATAATAAAAAAAAAAGATTAGTGTTTCTAATTAGTTGACGCTATTATCAACTAGCAGTTATTTGCTAACGCTGAATACACATTGTATAAAATAGATTACTCACATATTCTCTAACACACACATTTTTTGAGTAATAGAATTTTCGTTTCGCCAATTTGCATTATACTGAACGCTTGCAGTATTCAGTGTTTATATTTTGGATTCGCACTTGCTCAGGAAATAAACTCCGGCATGAGCTATGTATTTGTAGTCACCATCCGGCTGAATTCTCAGATCGATCAAGTCCACTTGAACCCGCGACATAAATTCATTGGCAATAATGGGCCTGCAGATATTGCAGTTAACATTGGCCATCGACTTGTGCAGAAGCTAAATGCATTGACAAAGGCGAGAACTAATTTTATAGGAATGTGGCTGGATCGTTCCTTGAGCTCGTCGAATGTCTTTCCGTACCCAGCGTGTTGCAAGTTTTCATAAACAGATCATACATATCCTCCTAACGTACACCGGTTCTACTTTTTTTGAGTAATAGGATTTTTGTTTCACCTATATGCATTATACTGAACGTTTGCACTCGGTGTTTATACTTTATCTGACCGCAAGAATTTCTTGGTCAGAATGGCTTTCCGTGATGCTCATACATTTAATATCAAATGTGTTATTAGAATGAACATTGTTAGTATTATTGTGAATAGTATGCTATATGTATCACTGTGATAAAAAATTTTCTGTAGATTATCACATTTTGCAAAATCGAAATGGTCACCCGTTCTCAGAACGGGTTAACATTGATATTAATATAAAGGTCCATTATATTATTTAGTAAAAATTCCATCCCAGAAAAAAAGTCCGTATAATAATAAGGCAAAATCCGTATCAACGGCCCGTTTATATCGACCTTCACTGTATATGGTGGGGGACACAAGTACGCATCAAACAAAAATCGATGCATTTCAAACAATAATACAAGCATTACTGTATTAAT